CTCTGGCCTGTGCCCCAGTTCTGTATGAATGAATAAATAAATAAATCTTAAAAAAAAAAAAAAGATGGCCTTCCCCCAGGTAATGTGAATTTGTAAGCAACAATCCTTCAACCTGGCTCTACTTACCTATCTCTTCGGTAAGTCTGTAGTTTTTAATTAAATAAGATACTGTACTAATCATAACTAAACACAGTGGAAAGTACAGTGTTCCTGGGAGATTTCTACCATACCAAACGGATTTAATATAAACAAAACACCAAAAATATTCTATGAATGTGAGGTTCGTGAACATCATAATTTATTTCGACTTACTCTTTTTTCCTACGACCGTGGAAAAAACTGGCCCATTCAAAGCATGTCTTTTTGCTTCCAACCCAAAAAATGGATGGAATACCGACGATGAGCGCCATCAGGTACTTCATGAGGAAGAGAATCAGGTCCGGACGGCTCATCTGTGTGACCTACAGGAAGGAAGGGCGAGTGTCTTAGCTATACCAAGGGAACTTTCCACTCCAGACCATTATAAAGCCTTTTAAATAAATAGTACAATAACTACAAATTTGATATTTTCCCCTACTGTTTTGAGGTTTTCTTGTTATATGGAAAAGAGGTACTCCAGAAAATGACAAAAACGTGTACTCTACATTTTGAGTGCTGTATTCTTACTAGCTTGCTTTTGGTTACCATCTAAGGAAAAACATTATTAATGTAGAAAATAAACTGTAAACAGGAATAGAGATGCAGATTATACCTGCATTCTTCTTGGTCAGCTTGCTGGCCCTACCATTTTATCACATAATATTAGGCAAGCATTCATGTCCCCTCCGCCCGTCCCCTGTTGTTCCTCGTTCAGACCTTTAATCTGCGCTCCCTTCCTTCTCCCTGTTCATGTTTATGCTGCTGGCTGTTTCCAGGCTTCCTCTTTCGCCTATTAATTATTTACAAGTGCATTTTCGAGTCTGTAATCAGATGAGTGTTGTTGTTGTTTTTTTTTCATTGAGGGCTTCCAGTCTAATTATTATGGCCAGAGAATATGATCTATATGATACTCGGTTACCTTAAATTTTGGAGATCTGGTGACTTAAGACAGACAAATGTTTTAAGTAATCCTATGGGCTCAAAAACAAATGCCAATTCTCCATTTGTTAGGTACAAAATCTTCTATAGGTATTAGATCAAATTTATTAAAAGTGCTGTTCAGGACCCTCCCTGGTGGCACTGCAGGTTAAAGCACAGCACTGAGAAGCTAAAGCCACTTCAGCATGAGTTCGATCCCCACTCTGATGTCACCTCTCCTGACCTGCCTTCTGCTCCCCTCAGCAGTGTACTTCCTCAATCTGTCTGTTCTGCTCCCCGCTCTGTCTCTGGTGAGTCCTCTCACTGCCCCTGCACCTCTGGCCTGCACCCCAGCTCTGTATGCATAAATAAATACATTTTTAAAAGATATTTATTTATTTATTTATGCACACAGAGCTGGGGTGCAGGCCAGAGATGCAGGGGCGGTGAAAGACAGAGCAGGGAGCAGAACAGGTGGACTGACAAAGCACACTGCTGAGGGGAGCAGCGGGTGGGTCAGGAGAGGTCACCTAAGGGTGGGATGGAACTCATGCTGAAGTGGCTTTAGCTTCAAAGTGCTGTACTTTAACCTGCTGTGCCACCAGGGAGGGTCCATAAATAAATAAGTCTTAAAAAAAAAAAGTGCTGTTCAAGCCTTCTACATTCCTGACGACTTTTCTGATTGCACCTAGACATTTCAGGGAGTTTGGCAAACAGCTCTCATGGAACTGGACCCATCGTTTCCTTCCAGACCTGTCACTGTACCTGTCACAGTGCATAAGTTCAACAAAGCCCCAGCAGCTTGATTTGCCTTATTAATGTCCTTCCTCCAAACTACTTCACCAGACACCAGTATTCACACACCAGCTCTCACTCCACCCAGCATACTTCCCAGTTACAGGTTTTTTCCAGTTACCAATATATTTCTTCCAAATCTGTCTGTCTGGGTTACACAAGCTTCTTTTAAATAGTGTATAGTTTTCTCCCACTCACTGCACATGCCACAAAAGAGTGTCCTGTCTTCTCCTCTCCTGCCATTGCTTTGTTCCCAGCACCTGGCCAGTACCTGGCACATACCAAGTGCTCTTTAAATAAGCATGCACAACACATATGGACACTTGATTTTTATTAGAAGAACTGCACTCAAAAAGTATTCAGTACTTCCTTCTTGACCAAGCCCGTGCTCACTCCAGCTACTACATTTCTTGTTTTTCAAAGACTCCTAACAAGTTTTACAAAATAATTGTCTTTGTTTTATCGTTGCTAAAACTTTGCAAAACCACCCCCCCCTCCTGCCTCTGCATTCCCTCCTCTTCTTTCTAAGATGCCGTTCCAGACACTCCTTGCGACAGGTATGCCGAGCACGGGCGCCTTGGCCTGAAAACGCTCTTACTGCGCCCTCAGTGGCGAATGGTGGCCGAGCTGAATAAAGTTATCATTTCTCAGCTATTCAGCACATCATTGTCTTCTAAGGCTCACTGTCTGTTGAGAAGTCTGTTTAACTGATATTCTTTTGACTTATTTCTTTTTTTCTGGTAGCCTTTAGGTTTCTCTTTATCCTTTGTTTCTCATTGTACTAATTTTTATTTTGCTTAGCATGCAGAGCATACCTTTTTTTTTTAAAGATTTATTTATTTATGGATACAGAACTGGGGCACAGGCCAGAGGTGCAGGGACAGTGAGAGGCTTCACCAGAGACAGAGTGGGGAGCAGAACAGGCAGATCGACGGAGAGCAGCGGGCTGGTCAGGAGAGGTCTGCCGCGCCATGTAGTCACCTCTGGGGCAGGTGGGGATTGAACTCATGCGGAAGTGGCTGAGGCTTCTCAGTGCTGTGCTTTAACCCGCTGTGCCACCAGGGAGGGCCATGGAGCACGCTTTTAATGTGAGGACTCAAGTTTCAGTTCTGGAAAATCATCAGACATTAGCTCTTACTTACTCATTCTCGTAAGCCTATTGTTCTAGAACACCTGTTAGATGTACACTGAAGTCCCTCAGTCTATTTTTTAGGTCTAACTGAAAAAGTACAATTTTGAGCATTTTATATCTTTCTATATCCTACATTCGCAGCGAACTCTTCAGAATAATCTTCAGTTTTGCTATTTTAGAGTTCATTCTATCTACTGATTTATTTCTATAACTTCATTTCTAACCTGTCCTTATACCTTATTCTTCTGTCATTCCTGCTAGTTGATCATAACTTTTTATTCGGTTAAAGTTTTCTTAGTTTATCTTTTGGGTCATCCTAAACATACTTATTTTTTAAAAGTGAATCCATCTTCTGACTGTTGATTTTGTTGCATGCCTTTCTAGAGGTTAGCGCTTTGCTTTTAATTGTGCTTTGAAGTTCTCCTCTGCAGATCTTAAATGCACGCTCTCCCCTCTCTCCTTATTTCCCTTCTTTCTTCCTTTCATTTTCTAACCTGTCTCCTATTGTGGTTGGGGCTGCAGACATTCTTGGCTGCCACAGATTCAGTTCTTGTCATTGCATTTGGCTTCAGTATTGGTCCCAAGGCTGTGTTAGGACTTCCTGGCCCTCTCCGTCAGTATTTTTATGTTAACTCCAGCTTCAGAAAACATGGGGTGGCACTTGCAGGGGCTAGGAAGTTCCCATTTCTCCTTTCCAGTTAACAGTGAGTCTAGTCCTGGCCCTCCTTTGCATGTGACAATTTACTTCCGAACACCTGTAGAAGCCAAGTGCCCATCTGCCACGGCCACTTCAGACCCGAAGTCCAGCAGGCTCATCTTTTGATCTCTAGTCATCCTTATGCATTTCTAGTCTACATGGTAGTTTATCTTGTCTTTTAGATTTACTATGTTTAAAATCTCTCTTACGGTATTTTATAACTGGCACATGATTGGTCAGTCTGACAAACTTGAAACACAGAATGAAAATGACATTGTACCCTGAAATGAAGGTGTAATTCCGCTAGAATGTACACAGAAGTCAACCAACAAGTGTTTATGGATCATCTGCTACTCTAAAATCAGTACTGTTCTGGCCCATGTGAGACTTAGCAGAAGTAAGGTTTGATTGTGTCCCCATGCAGCGGGTAATCTAGATGAAAATACAAGTGAAAGAAACCACACCATTGTTAGGAACTATGTTAGTTAAGAAGCAGAGGAAGAGGAATTAAACAGATCCAAACACGGCTCCATGTGAGCAATTCCAGTAGCTTCGTGGTGGCTTCTTCATTTTACTCTGCACAGCACCAGCAGTCCTGAGGCCACGCATACTTCACAGCCTTTCACTCCTGTCTTCTGAGCTACCACGTAGCTCTGCTTATCTCCTGCTTAGGCATGACGTTTTCTTCCTCCGCTCTTACCCTTGCTTCAACCCTGCCCCACCCCCAGTATCCTCTATGCAAAATTCTTAAAGTCATACCTTATTTTCTCTCATTATAACCTCAACAAATCAATTAAACTTATAACGAATCTATTCTTACTCTTTGTCAACTTAATGTTTTTCAATCTATCTTTCTACAAATATAATTTGTACACAGTATTGATAAAATACAAGGTTGTCTCGGGCCCTCCCTGGTGGCACAGCGGGTTACAGCACAGCACTAAGAAGCTAAAGCCACTTCCGCATGAGTTCGATCCCCGCCAGCCCCGGAGGAGATCCACATGGCGCGGCAGACCTCTCCTGGCCCGCCCGCTGCTCTCCTCAGCAGTGTGCTTCGTCTATCTGCCTGTTCTGCTCCCCACTCTGTCTCTGGTGAATCCTCTCATCCTCCACATCTCTGGCCTGTACCCCAATTCTGTATGAATAAATCTTAAAAAAAAAAAAATACAAGGTTGTCTCTTCCACATTCAAATATCTCTAGCTGTGTTCCCATCCATCTAGCTCTATCCTCTGAGGTTATAAAGAACATGGTCACCATTTCAGAAGTTCTTGTCAGTTCAATAAAAGGTCCTACCAGAAGTGAAATTTCAACATGCGAAAATAGGACATTCATATGTAACAGCCAGATATGAAATATGATGGGGGAAAATTAATTTGCAATAGCAGCAAAATCCATAAAATACCTTGGAAAAACCTAAACAGAAATAAAGATATGAAACTCTGTTGAAGGAAAAACGGAAGAAAGTGGAGGCATAATTAATGTTTCCAACATGCGCAGACAGTGTATTAAGATGTTAATTTGAATTCCCTCAAATTAATCCCATAAACCTGTTAAATCTGAAAAATCAATAAATTTTTCACAGACACAAAAAGTTAAGTATGTAATAAAAATATTTAAAAGAAAGAGGGAAAGGTGGATTGTTTAATTAATGGTACTGGGATGATTGGCAATTCACCTAGAAACAAAACAACTTAGACAATAAAGAATTCGACACACAGAAAAGCAAATCATAAAGTGTGAAAAGAATGAAGAAAATTTTTATAATGGAAAGTGGGGTGCA